AGTTATCTGCTGCAGGAAGTGGGTGCTGTTACTTACAGGGCTAGAAATCTCCTCTGCACGTGCCCCGTATACGACCTGGCCCTCCACACCCAACACACCAGGATTTCACACAAACGGTGTCGATTGCTTGGATTTCACATGTGGCAAAAGAGACACATAGAAAATGAGCCGAAAAAATACTTGCCACTTTCATGCGAGGTGCCTAGTTTGTACTCGCAGTGTGTGGTTTCTGATCTGTTTGTGTATGGTGGATATGCTGAGGGGGGAAATGTGTGGCAGAGTGGTTTAGTCTGAAGTAGTTTGTCGCAGGTTCTCATAGATGGAGTAGGCCAGTTTCTCGGTTAATTTCAGTCTATTTGGTAAGGTTAATAGGCAATACCGGTGCGTCATATATATTTCTATACACACGCTTAAATATCGTCACCTTTAAAATAGTATTCACAAACTGTGAGTAGCATTGGGTAGCAGTGAGTGGCCGTCATTAGCCAGTCATACCCTGTTCCAGGGATGACGACCCTAAGATTCGAAAACGTGACCTTTGGTCACTGAGTGCAACAATAGTGCAATGGTAGGGCATTGTCCTCAGTGACCAAATGTCCCGAGTTCTAATCTCGGGAGTCTTCGCCACTAGGGTTGGGCATGACTGATTGATGACGGCTGATAAGTCAGAAATGGCCATTCCGGTCTCTCTTGTCTTTATCGGTTCCAATTCAGTATATGTATATACATTCGGGGAAATAATTTTGGATACCATTAAGTGCGTGACTTGGAGGTGGGTGACCGGAACGTGACTTTTTAGGGTCTGGCCCGAAATTTCTATGAACATTTGACTCGAAAACAATCAAATCCTGTTGAATAACCACTCAATTCCCATTCTACAAACGAGTAGTCCTACAAGTAGTATGTATTTCATGTAGCAGAGACGTTATACAGCACTTCCGACATGGGTATCAGCTGGAGGTCATATACCAGAAACCGCATAGGGCACGCTGGAGGACCCACGGAGGAGCCTAACCTCTCGTTGCAGCGTCGTACAGCAGCAGACACTTAGGCAAAACACGGACCTGAGCTTTTAGCTAGTACCTATGTCGGGAGTACGGTATAACGTTTTTGCTACGTAAAATACATACTGCTTGCAGTGCTACTCGTTTGTAGAATGGGAATTGCGTGCTTATTCTACAGAATTTGATTGTCTTCGACTCAAATGTCCATCGAAATTCCGGGCCAGACCCTAAACAGTCATGCTCTGGTTACTCACCTCCAAGTCATGCATTGAATAGTTTCAAAAACTATTTCCCTGATTATTATTTGAAGATCATATACCAGACACTGTATAGGCAATGCTGATATACCCACTGAAGGAATTCTGAAGACAGTTCTGTTAAGTTTACTGATGTTTATCGCGGAGAAAGTAGTCAATAATGTCGATGGTCAGGTTAGTGGGCTAGAGATGAATAGGGAGACCACGTCAACGACACCAGCACCTCGTCCGCCTCCAATTCTCGATGTAGGATACGCGTCATAAACTTCTTAGCCGACCACACTGTCCACTCCGAGTCCTTGATAGTGAAGCAGATTCGTTGATATAGCCACTTGGGCAGCCAAAAGTTTATAGGGACACGTAAGGACACGATGGGAGCTTAGGGGTACTCCTGGTTTGTGTACCTTCGGCAGTTCGCAGGAGCGTGTCATCGCGGTATCAGTCGCTTTCGCGGCCATTGCTTTCTTCCTTCCTGTCTGCCTGCCTTCCTCAACTTGCCTATCGTGTTGTTTATGTTGTTCACAAGCTTTTTGAACTCAGCGGTCGCCGGCGACTCATAAGATTCCTTGTCCATCAAGAGGTTCGCCAGTTTAGTCCAGTATTCGGTCTTACCCATGACGACCGTCGAGCGTCCCTTGTCAGAGAGCAGAGTGACAAATTCTTCATTTTTCGTATTCACCGGAGTTCTCGATCTTTAACTTCAGACATCGTCATCTGCGTGGTTAAACAGGGTGGCCAACAACGCGCAATCTTGTCGCACGCCATACCGAATATCGAGCAGTTGGGAGAAATTGCTGTGTATGAGAACTTGCGCAGTGCTGGCGAGGTAGCAGGCCTTGATCATGGATGTGGTTTTTGGCTGCATGCCATCTAGCTCCATTATTATTATTATTATTTTTATTATTATTATTCAGAGGCACTTAAGACGAAAGAAGGCGAGCGATGCAGTAAAGGCAACAAGGCAGGCGACTGTCTGCTGTTGGCAGTCATGATGGAGTTCAAAGATGCACCATGATGTGAGTATCTGGTTCACCATCGCTATTAAACTCACTACCTGGCATGTTTGCGTGTCATTTGAGAGTCGTGCAAGACCAACATGACAGTGACACAAATGTCAGTGGGGCTTTTACTGTTATAGGTTTTGCATTTTCTTCGAGTTCCAGTCATCAGAGGCGAGCCCAACCGGAGCCCGTGAATTTGACTACAATTGGGCCAAGTTACCTAGGTGGATAGATTTTTGGCTGTATTAAAGCCCTTCGCTTGCTGACGTGGGCTTGGTTGACATAGACTTCATCTATGTTCATTGAATACTACGCTTTCTCTGCACTCGGATGGC